CCTAGACCCTCCCTAATATGGCAAATATGGACCAGGCAGGTGCATTGCCCCTGCCCCCCTATAACCGCCCCCCATGACCACCCCCCAGGTTGATTTCACCTCCTGCACGGGGCTGTTCTGCGTCCTGGGCATCGTCGTCATGGTAACAGGCATTGTCACCGCCATCGTCCTGTCCTTCAAATACGTGAGTGCAGGGTGGGGGTGAAATCCCCCCGCAAGGCATTGTGGGAGTGGGAGCATCCCCCCAACTCTGCTGTCTGCTGAACACCTCCCGTGTCCCGAGCTGGTGCCCGGACTCAGCCTCCTGGCTGGGGGGGGAGCAACACCTGGAGGGGGGCGGCAGTGTGACCCCCTCCCTTCCCCCTGCAGATCTATTGGCTGCACATGCTGTACGCGGCCCTGGGCGCCATCGTCTTCACCCTGGTGAGTGGGGGGCTGGGCAGGGGGTGCCCACACTGGAGGAGGGGACACGGAGTCGGTGGGCCTGGCCCTGACTGCCTGCCCCCTCTCCCCCCACCCCCGGCAGTTCCTGGCCTATGACACGCAGCTGGTGCTGGGCAACCGGAAGCGGGCGCTGGGCGCGGAGGAGTACGTGTACGGCGCGCTGCGCATCTACACTGACATCATGCAGATCTTCCTCTCTGTGCTGCAGCTGGTCGGCCGCAGATAGAGCCCGTCTCCCACCCGCGCTGCCCGGCTCTGCGCGGCCCCCGCGGATACCGACGCACGGGGGGGAGGCGGGCCCTTGCCTTATTGCCCCTGCCCCTGCCCCTCCCTGGGGCCTGGGTGCGTCCCAGCCCCGCCAGCCCGGGATGGGAGGTGCTGCGCGGGACGCCAGCTGACACGTGGGCGCACACACGTGCTCTGGACATGCGACTGCACCCGTGTCTCTCCTCCTCCCGCCCCGGGGCTGCTATGTGCCTTAACAGTGCACGCACCAACATGGCACGGTGCGGGGGAGGGTAGAGGGGCCCCCAGCAAAGGTGGGGGGGGCTCTGCTTGCTGCACCTGTCACCCCATGGCCAGCCCTGCCTGGGACCCCCCACAGCGCCAGGCAGGGGCTGAGCCTGCTTTGCCGACACCAAAGAGCCTGGACTAAGATGCTGCCAATAAAGTGCCCGTCTGACACCCGCCGCCTGTGCCCGTGACTGCCCTCGTGGGGATGGGGTGGGTATCAGGCCCCTGGGCTGGGGGCACAAGACCTCTCCGGACCCTGCGTGGCCCTCTCACTGCACCCCACTCGCCTCCCCAGCCGGAGCGCACACACTTGTAGGGTTTGTACTGCCTCAGGTTTATTCAGGACCTGGCTAGTTGCGTCCTGCCTTGTGCAGGGCTCCCCGGTACTGCTGCTCTGCCTCGGGCCCCACGTTGGCCATCTTTATGTTCTGGAGGCTCTGGAGCTGCTCAAGGCGGTTGCGGTCAACCTCGCGCTTGGTTAAGAGAAAGAGGAGGATGCCCGAGGGGAAGCCGATGGCCCTGGGGGGGACCAGAGGGGTGGTTAGTGCTCGTGGGCCTCCAGCCTGTGCTCACCCTGACCTGCGGTGCTCCTCGCTCCCAATCCGCGGCCCCCTGCCCCCGTGAGATGCCCTCGTCTGCGTGTCGGGTGCTGGGGCTGACCCGAGCAGGTGGAGACCTCGTGGCGGCGGGCACTCACCAGGCCACCCCCACGGCACGCATGGGGTTCTTGGCCTTGCGCGTGGGGACGTACTCGATGTATCGTGGCCCCGAGGGGTCTGGCCTGGGCTGCGTCTCTGCCGGAGCCTGTGAGCTGCGGGGCTGTGGTGTGCGGATGCCGGTGAGGCGTGCCGCCGCGGAGAAGAAGCCTGCGTAAGGGGGAAGCAGGGTCATGGGTACATGTAAGGTTGAACCCGCATTACAGCGCTGCCAGACCAGAGGCAGTGGGACAGTTGTCTGGGAGGGGAGGGGAGGGGGATGGGGGGAAATGTGACCCCACCGCTCCCTGCTGGGAGTTAAGGCCCCCACGGCACGTTACATTTATTACACAATTCACAGGTGAACCGCACAATAAACGTAGACGGGCCCCGCCTGCAAAGTGCTCACCCCATCACCAGGTGGCACACGTTACATATGTGATAAGGCCAATGGGCGAAATGAGTGATAAACGCTGAGCAGTGATTTGGGCAGGATCCACTGGGGACATAGCTGTGCTGGATGGGAGCCCTCAGCCCCATCCCAACCTGGTCTGACCTGGGCCTGGCCTGGGGCAAAGGGGGACAGCGCCTTGCTACAGCAGAGGAAACTGAGGCAAGGGGTGGGGGTGCAGGTGCAGGACCCTGCCTCTCCCGATAGAAGCTGTCGCAGGAGAAACGCGGATAGACGTGCGCAGTGCGCCCCCCACGCGGCCTCCGGGGTGAGGGTGCTATCCTGGGGGACCCCGCCCCGCACTTACCCCGCAGCCTGGCCGCCGCCATGTTGCCCCCGCGCCGTCCCGACACACCTCGCGCGGCGGCCGAGAGCGGGCCAGGGCCTACAACCCCCAGCATACCCCACGGCCCCGCGTGAGGCGCAGGGGACAACGTACCTTGCTGCGGGGGGCGGGGCCTCGGGCGGCGACGCGCATGCGGATTGGCTGCAGCGGCCCAGTCCTCGCTAGCCATTGGCGGAGCCGCGCCCGCCCC